GAAATGTAACAGTTGATGTGTACTTCACATTGTGCGGTGCCAAGAGGGATGCAGACTCTGATGACTTAATCAGGTGGCTCCCACCAGATTTATACATTATTCTGAAATACTGTGCTTGTTATTATTCTGTTCCCCAGTTAACTTGTACCCAGTGGCTATAGCGCCCACTGATGATTCTTGCCTGAACAAATGATTACATCTGTGATTGCAAAAAGGTGGTTTTGAAATACTATCATTAATTACACATTTTCACCCAACATTCTTCTGAAAAAGAAACTTACCTTCTTTCTTTAGTAGATTCCTAGAAACTTCTCGTTGTTGTCCACTATGTTCAAACCCACTGTAACCAGGTGGCTGTGACCTCACAGTCCTCAGAGGCGCCTCTCCTGGGCCATGTCTGTGTCCCGGCCAGAGGCCCTCAGCCAGGAGGCTGGTCAGGTCCTCTCGCTTCGCAGGGACACACTGACCCAGGCTCTGCCCAGGGCAAGGGCAGCCCTCTTTGGACCAGGTGGTGACTCAGATGTGTAGACACCAGCACAGGCAGAGTCCACAACGTAAACAAGATGTGGTTGTCCTGGGGCAAGGGAGGGGCTCGGACCCCAACCACAGATTCCCATCACAGTGGCATTGGGGGTGGGTAAGGCATCCTTCCTGTGAGAGTCCAACTGCTGTGTCTTGTGGGCCCCCTGTGGTCAGCAGCCAGACAGCAGGCAGACAGCTAACCTCTCCCGGGGAGCAGACGGCGGGTCTGCTCCATCGTAACGGACCCAGCAGCACTGTCAGCCCAGGTTACCAAGCAGTGTGTGCTTCACGCGTCACCTGCGTGACCTCCACTCCCCGGGGCAGAAATGTCTCAGCCACATGACGGAAATGTCAACAAGAGCGGTCCCGTAACGTGACAGCACTATTGCTCCCTGACATGCAATCCAGACACAGCCGACCCAGCTGCGGGCAGCTTCCTTTGTCTTTCTGTTCTGTCTTCCTCGGCCTGTGTGTTTTGTCCTCCTAGTAGCAAGGGGGCTCTTGCACGTCCAGCATCACACTCATCTAAGTCAGAAAGACGTGGAGGGAGGAGGGCAAGAGCCATGTGGGTCTCTACCCAGGAGCTCCATCAGGAAGACTTGCACTTTGGCCTCAGGAGCCAGAATGCGGCGCGTGGCCACTCCTGGGCAGAAGGTACTTAGGCTTGGGGGGTCACACAGTGACAGTGGCAGAGCGGGCACTGGCCCCATGAGGCCAGACCCCCATTCCTGCTCTTAGCCCGCCCACAGCCCTGCCAGAGGCGCGGGGGAGGTTCTGGATGAAGCCTGCAAGCCTGAGCCTTAACGGGTTCTAACCTAGACCTGTCTGTCTGGTGCTCACCGGGCTTCAGCCCAGGCACAAGGGGCCTTGGCCTGAATTTCAAGGACATGCTCAAGGCAGTGGGCCTTGGATTCAAGTCCCCAGTGTCCCCTTCTCAGTTCTGTGCCCTCCTCAAAACCAGAGGCCACAGTGGCACCTGCCTCTGGAGCTGCCATGCAGGTTGGGAAGGGCTGTCCGCTCCCGTCGGCCCTCTGGACACACGCAGAGCACACAGCCTGCTCAGGTGGGGGGTCATCTGACCGACCTGTGTTTATCTTCTACGAACAATGGACAGAGATTTTTTTTTAATATTTTTTTCTTTAATGATTTTAGAGAGAGAAAGAGAGAGAAACATCAGTGAGAGAGAACACTGATTGGCCACCTCCTGCACGCCCCCACTGGGGATCGGGCCCACAACCTGGGCTTGTGCCCTGACTGAAAATCACACTGGAGACCTCTTGGTGTAGGGATTGACGCTCAACCAGTGAGCCACATTGGCCAGGCAGGACAGGGGTTTTTGTCCCCGGGCAGTGTTTGAGGACCAGAGTCCATACTACATGGGATGGCCTAACACAGGGGCACACGAGCTGGACTTTAACCCAGACCCATCTACCTTCACAGAACCTACCAGGGAGACATACCCTAAAGACAAAAATTCTTTTGAACTGGGAAGGCCACTGTTGCCGGGCCTGCTGCAGCTGGGACGTCCTCCCCTCTCTGGATGAAGCCACAGCTTGTGTCCTTTGACCCCAAGACAGAAATGCCGGAACACACAGTGTGGCAGGGGTCCACGCCCTCATTCCCACATCGCTCTCTCCTTTAAATGGTCCCAAGCAATGAACCCAGCACGGCTCCCGGGGTAGCAGGGGATGATGTCAGGTCTCACCTGGGCTGCCAGGTGTTCCACCTGAACTCCACTTACAATCACAATGCCTGACTCAGGACTGAGAAATTTGCTCCCCTTGGAGACCGAGTCAGAGCAGAGCTGATGGAGATCGGGGCACTGGCTGGAAGAGACACTCTGGGCCTGACTTCGGGTTCAGCTCTAGGCCCCACAGGGCTGACAGCCACACAGTCACGGCACAGCCATTGCCGACTCCTCCGCCTACCAACATCACACGCAGGATCCAGGTGGGGCATTTGCTGTCTGCCCCTCCTGGACAGGGCAGAGCTGTTGGAGGCCCACTACCCACAGGACATCTTGAGGGCAGAGCAGGGCCCCTGCGGGTCCCTCTTATTGCTGCTCCAGCCGACAGACACCTGCTTAGGAGAGGACCCTCCGCTGTGGACACTCCTGCAGGAAGGAGAGTGTCCGAGGCTAATGCGAGCTGTGTTTCCCGAGTCCCCAAATGGGGCATCAGGACCGCGCACCCGTGTCTGTCGTTTGCCATCCCTGGTCCAGGTGTTTTCCCTGCGCAGAAGGGAGGGCTCTCCACCCTACACGACAGAGCGGCCTCTTCACTTTCACCACAGACCCCAGACCCACAATGGTTTCTGAAAACAGCCAAGGTGGGCATCAGCTGAGAAGATGGGGTGTGTTGGTCACCCCTGCCTGCCACTCCCCACCCCCCACCCCCCGTCATGCCTCACTGGCACAGTCTGCTCTCACCCCAGGGTGCTGGCTTCTCAGAAGTCCCTGCTGATGGTCCTCCCTGGCCCTGGCGTCACGATGTGTCATTTCTCCTTAGGGCAGCCCCTGGCCATGGTGCGGGGACTTCTCCTCCTCACCTGGCCTCACACAGACTGCCCAGGACTCAGCCCACGACCCTTCCCACCTCACAGAGAGGACCAGGGCCTCGGGCTGCGAGTATGGGTCACCAGGGTCTTTTACCAAACACCTTGCTCTTCCAAAGGTCCCATGGACCCCAGGCCGGTGTCCAGCCTGGGGCTCCCCGTCACAAGGAACAGAAAAGTTCTGGATACAGCTGTTCAGGTTGTACACCGAACAAGGTACCATAACTTGACGTTTTACACCTCACACTCAAACGTTCTATAGTTTTGAAATATTTTCATGTTTTATTATAACCTTGTTTGAATCCAAAGATGGGCCAGGACAATTCTCTAGTAAATGAAATCTTGAAGATGAGGCACCTTTTCATAATTTGCCTGCAGGTGCTGAAAGATGCCTGGGGTCCAGGGCCTGGTCATCTTCCCATCAGGGGAGTTTCCAGAGCATGTCCCAGTGATGAGCTTGGTTCTTAGAGAGGCCAGGCGTGGACGGAGGGTCTCAGGCCTCCAGGGAAAGGGCAGGGCTCCAAGCCACTGTGGTTCCTCTCACTCTGGATAGATTCAGGAGGGGGAGTGGGCTATGGAGAGGCCCCGGACTCTGCCTGTTCTCCAGCCTCTGGGTTCTCTCAGGGTGGAGAGCTTCAGGTTTCTAGAAAGGGCAGTCAAAGGGCACTCCCACAAAAGTTTTAATTGTAGTTTTGGTTGCTTTACTTATGCCATTTGAGGCTTAAGATTTTTAGAGAGTACAAAAAAAAGGTCAGAGAGCAAAAGGACATAAGCCCATGCACAACTGCTAGTCTCAGAGGGCCACTGGCATCTCTCTTTCATGCATCACATTAGAAAATATCCCAATAACTGACCTCCCTGTGCTCTGGTTTCCTCCTCTGTAAAGTGGTCACACTTCCCACATCACGAGGTTGCTGTGAGCATTCGTGAGCTAGTCTTTGTAGCGTTGTGGAAGCTACACACAGAAGTTCAAAGCATGAAGCTACAGAAGCCGCCCTCCATTTTCACAGTTTGATGCCTTGTCCAGACTTCATCTTATACGCAAATGGGCCTCATTCTTTTTCATGGACAGCAAAGCATGCTGGTGTGTGACACAGCTCGTTTATTTGTCCCCAGTGGGGACGATCTGCTTGTTTCTGGTGTCTTGTACGACATGCGTTTGCAAAACCGGTGCAAGCATCTCTTCGGGGTTATCTCCCATAAACATGAGCCCTGCCAAATGTCATGTGGATTTACATCTCAAATAAATATTTCCTAATTACCTCCAAAGAGTTATAAACAGCCCACTCCCAACCTTTGCTTCAAGGGTCACCAGCCCTGCCTTGGAGGGGCCTGATTCTAACCCTGCAGATGACACGTGCTCGTTATCAAATAACTGGAACCTGCATCTTGGCAAGAAAAGGTCCTGTGCCCAGAGCCACAGCCGCACAGCTCGATGGAGTCACCGTCAGTTCCGCTGCGCAGCTCCCACCGTCAGTGCGTGGAAGTGGGGGGCAGAGAGGAGAGGGGGTGAAGAGGGGTGCAGAGGGGTCCACAGGAGGCCAGAGTGGGCGGGCAGCGTGACAAGTCTCCTCCCCGAGAATCATCTCAATCTCGGGGGTCCTCACTGCCCCTTTTCACTGATGGGGAAACTAAGGCACCGACACGAGGCCTGCTGGGGCAGTCAGACCCGTACGTGCCCTTGACCAGGGATCAGCTGGGGACCCTCTGCTGTGCTCCGACCACTGGGCACGTGCCCGACCTTTGAGAGGCTTCCACCAAAATCCTGACTGTCCCCGGACAGGAAAAAACAATCTACGTTAGTTCCGGGGCTGCTGCCGGGTGTCGGCTCAGGGTCCAACCTCCAGGCCCCCGGCCCCGCCCCGGCCCCGCCCCGCAGGCCCCGCCCCGCAGGCCCCGCCTCACTTCCGCCGGGAGGAGCCTGCGCCCCCGCAGGTCTGTGCGTCCCGGCTGCCCGCCTGCCCGTCCGAGCGAAGCTCCCGTGGCCCTGCCGGCCGCACCCAGATGGACCTCCCCCTGCTGTGGTCAGACACTTGGCTCCGGGGCCTGGGAGGTGACAGGGGCTGGACGGGGCGGCCGGGGAGGCCCCTCTGGGAGTGGCGGGCGGGCCTGCAGCGGCCACTTCGCGGGCATGAGCTCGGGGCCGGCCCCGCGGCTGCGCTCGCTCCGGCGACACCTGGGCTCCGCGGAGGTAGGGACTGAGGGTCCTGTCCCGTCCGCCTGGGCCTGAGGTCCCTGAGCCAGGGAGCACGGCGCTGAGTGTGGGTAACAGGGGGACCGGGTCTGGCCGGCACTGACCAGCCGTGTGTCAGGTGCACCGTCGTGGCCAGTGGCGGGGAGGGGGCCTTAGTGGAGACAGACGGGGTCGGCGTCGTTTACACTCATTTCAGTGTGTCCGCAGCGCAGCCTCATAGGGCTGGTCTGTGATCCCCCCACCCAGGGGCAGTTTGGGACTCTGTCCCCCGGGGCTGCTTGTTCGAAGGTGTTGCCTCACTGGGGCTGGTGTGGACACAAGGCTCTTCCTTGTCCCTCTCTCCTGGCCCAGGGCAGAGGTATGGAGCCAGTGAGCAGCCCGCTGACCACACATGTGCTGGACACTGCCTCAGGGCTCCCGGCCCAAGGCCTCTGTCTCCGCCTGTCCAGGCTCGAGGACCACGGCCAACAGTGGACTGAACTGAGGAAAAGGTAGGAGGTCTAGGGCAGCACCTGAGTCCAGACCACCTCCCCTCAGCACAGGGCTGTCCCCAGTTCTGGCCTGGAACAGGAGGTGAGGGACCCCAGAACGCCCAGGAGTGCGGCACTGATGGAGCCCCCCAGGGCCCCTGCTAACTCCTGGAGCCCTGTCCTCGGGCTACTCAGCCTCACTGTCACCAGGCAGCACGCTGAGCACTTTATTGCTGGTCTTTTATTCTCACTCCACCCTAATGACCCCTTTTATAGACTGGGAGAGGCTGCAAGAGGCAAGTCACAATCCACACCGTGCCTGGCAGCACCAGGCCCAGGCTGCTACCCCGTGCTCAGCTCTGCAGCTGAGCACTGCGGGGGGAAGCCCAGCCCAGGCTGGCATTGGGGCGCTTGGTTGCCCTGTGAGCAGGGGGCAGACGATCCATCTTGAGGGAGGCAGGCTCCTCTGCAGGTGGCAATGGGGATCTGAGCCCCAAAGGTTCAGGGCCTGAGGGTGTGGATCTCATCCCCTCCCAGTTCAGCTCCTCACAAAGACTGGGGGTCCAAGTCCTATCTGAGGGTCAGCTGTGGTCTTGGAAGAACACATGGAGTCCACTGGTGGGTCACATGGTCCCATTCCAAACCCCCAAAAGTGCTCTATGACCACAGTGCACATGCAGCTGGTGGACCGGGCGGTCTGAGCACCAGTGCACTGGGTGACTGGTGCACGCGGAACAGGGACTGGCCCAGAAAGCCACACGATAGATTGAATGAAAAATCCAGGTTATAAAACAATATGAATAGTATAATTTACTTTACATTTTTGTAAGTTTATAAATAAGCATACTTATGAATAGAAAAAATCTGGAAAAATATAGGTCAGATATAGTGATTACTGCTAGTCTGTCTCAAGTCAGGCTGCAGGGGTGTCTGAGGCTGTGGGGTATGGAGACCAGGAGAGCCAGGCAGGGGTACACCTCATCCCTTCTTCCCCCACTAGCTACACCAACCCCGATGGCCGCTGCCCTGGGCTCCTGCTGCCAGGGCAGATGAAGGTGGGCACCTACAAGCTGACCTTCGACACCGAGGGCTACTGGAAGAAAAGGGGGCAGGAAAGCTTCTACCCGTATGTGGAGGTGAGAGCCAAGGCCTGGCAAGAGGGTGGACGCCCGTGATTCATTGTGCCCCCAGGTTCTGCAGTGGGCAGTGTCCCTCCCCCCTCTCCCAGGGCAGTGATTTCACCTGCTTTGAACTTCCAGGAGAAAGGTGTCCCCGCCCCGCCCCGGGGTCAGGCTGTGGGGGGCAGGGAACAGGGTGACTCAGCCCCTGTGTACACAGGTGTTTACAAAGCCCTGTCCAACTCGCTGGGCCGAACCTTGCTGCCTCCCGCTTCACCTGGCTCTGCTCAGCAGGGGCCCTCAAGCCAAGTGCTTTCTCTGGGGGGGACCCGGCCTTGTCCACAGCCCTCACACCAGGTTTCCTGCTCACCACTGGGCTCCTGGCTCCCTGGGAGCATTGGGGTAAGGCCCTCACCCCCTCCTGGTGCTGTCTGTTCTCAGGTCGTTTTCACCATCACAGACGAGACCCACAAGTTCCATGTCCCCCTGCTGCTGAGCCCATGGTCCTACACCACCTACCGAGGGAGCTGACCACCTGGCCTGCGAGCACCGACGCCATCGCCACGGCCTGAGCCACCCCCAGCCCTCCAGAGTGGGCTCCAAGCTCCTCGTGGGGCTTAGGTCCCACTTCCTGTGGGAGGTTCTGGCCCCCGTCACCCAGCGGCAGCTGTGACTCAGGCATCAGTAAAGTCGGTGTGCTACCTGCAGGCTGCTGCAGTCACTGGGCAGAGCCTGGCCGGTGGGAGTGGGGGCCGCAGGGGCAGCTGAGGGGAGCAGACAGGCCGCGGAGCTGCTCCTGCCATAGTTGTGCAACAGGACACGCATCAAACGCGAAAAGCCTTCATTTGTGACCCAACAAATCCAAAATCATACACCTGCTGTCCGTGGTGTGTAAAAGGGCGTATCATGCAGGAACAGGTCCTAGCTGGGGGGCTACGTTGGGGTGCTCACGAGTCCAGCAGGGCCCTGGCCCAGGGTCTGCCCTATCACGGCCGTTTCTAGGGGCTTGAAGCCCACGTTGTCCAGGGGGATCCCGAAGGCCAGCAGCTTCGCCTCGTAGGTTCGCAGCAGGTCGTTGTGGGCCTGTGGGCACAGAGCAGTGTCGGAAGAGCAGGGGCCGCAGCAAGGGCTTGCCCGTGGGCCAGGGCAACTCCAAGGCTGACCCTCGCTTAGGCCACCAGCCCCATGGAGGGTGGGAGGGGGTGGTGGAAACCACAAAGAAGCCTGGTGGAGAGTGCGGGTGACCCCAACCCATCCCCGAACTCAGGTCTGGGCAACAGCACTGCCAGGGCCCAGGGACGTGGTTTCTGTTCCCTTCTCTGGAAAATGGATGTTTTTAAAAGGGTGACTTTCATCAGATGGCTGTAAGGGTTTGGAGAGGTTTGCACGAGAAATACTTGGAGCCTGGCCTGACTCCAGTAAAAGCTCCGAAGGGCACACTGTCCCTAACACTGTCAGGAAGAGGGTGTCAGGCTGGGGTCAGGACTTAGAGGGTGAACTGAGGCGCAGCTCCAGGGAGAACTTGGAGGCCGGGCTTGGCTCTTACCCTTCACTAGGGTACAGGCCTCCGACAATCAGAAACAACTTCCTCCCAAAGCTTCACAGACCAGTAGATGGCACCAGTTTTGTGTGTACAAGTATCAGGGTGCCAGGGATTCCAAGGGAAGGGTCCAGAGTGGCGGGCAAGGCTGAGCTGGGCCTAGGGAAGGCCCAGCATGCAGATGCCTTCTTGCAGCTGCACAGCCCAGGGCTGACGTGTGACAGCCAACAGGTGACGTCCAACACAGAACTGGGCACGTGAGTCACTCGTGGGCTGGCTGCTCTTGGCAAATGTGTCCACAGCAGCTCTGTGTCTGCATCACCACAGGCAGAGCACAGACAGAGCTATGGGCTCTGCTGCAGGGCCCAGGCCTCCTGGGCTCTTGGGACAGACGACATGGGGTCAAGGCACTCCCTGCTCCTCCCCAACTGCAGGAGTCCCTCGGTGCCAATGCCCATTTTATTTTTGGCACAGGAGCCTGCGCAGCTTTCATTAGACTTACAGAGGAATCGGAAAAGGTTAGACCTGCAACTGTTCCCTGCTGGGAGGGCAAGGAGCCTTAATCCAGGGGAGCAGAGGCCTCTCCCATCGCCCCAGAGGCCAGGTCAACACTGTGGTAGGTGAGGGTCAGACAAGGAGACAGGAAGAGCTGCTGGACAAGATCAGCTGCCCTCCCTCACCAGAGGTGCCCCAGGCCACATGTGGGGCGGGGCCCTGAAGGAAGGCGGGGCTCCCATACCTTGCACACCCGGGCCAGCTCATACTGTAGGTCCTTGATGGTACCGTTCTTCGATTCCAGAACGTCCTGGGGAGAGATGCAGACGTGAATTTGAGACCTGTTTTCAGACTGAGGCAGACAGGGCAGCCACGGGTCTGGTGTCCGGGGGCTCTGGCAGTGGCCCCAGATGCCCAGGGTGCAGCAGCCTGACCCCATCAATGTGCGCGTCCACATGGGAGGAGCCTGTGTGCAAAGGTCTCCCAGGGAGAAAGGAGACAGCACCTGCCTGGAAGGCTCGTGCTGAGAAGTTAGGGGCAGGCCTGCAGGGGTCCAATCAGGAAAGGCAAGAGCTGCAGTGACCCTTGTGGGCAGGACTGTTTTCAGTACCCCTCATCACACCCCTTGTGATTCACACAGAAATAGGTGCAGAGTCAGGGGTGATCCCCAGACCCAGGACCACAGCGCTGCCAGCCCAGACAAGGCCTTCTGTCCCTGCACTGCCTGAGCCCCCAGTGGCCCAGCCTGGTGACTCGGGCCCACAGGCACTGCGGCCCACTGCGCCAGGACATGGCGCGACCTCAATCGGCAACAAGTCCATCCTGCCCTGGCCTTTCCTGCAGTCCCTGTGGGCCCCTGGATCCAGTCTGTCCTGTCCAGAACCTTCCATAATCCCCCGCTGGCCCCAAACTCAGGGGCACAGCTGACAGCTTCAGAATCTCCCCCACCCGGCTGTCGCAGGTGCAGGCTCGGTGGGGGCAAGCAGTCTGCAGTGCTCTCAATACAGATGTGGTGCCCCGGCTGGTGTGGCCCAGTGCACTGAGCAACGTCCCCTGGACTGAGACCCAGGTTCAATTCCTGGTCAAGGCACATGCCATGCCCGGGTTGTGGGCTTGATCCCCAGTGGGGGGTGTGCAGGAGGCAGCCCATCAATGTTTGTCTCTCACATAGATGTTTCTCTCCCTTCCTCTCTCTAAAAAAATCAATAAAAAACAAACAAAAATTTGGCACAGATATGGTGACCTGACTGGTTCATCCTCTGGGCCCAGAGGCAGTGTGAGCTGACTGAACTGTATGTCGACAAATCACCTTGAAAATGCTGCCTGTTGTCCTGGCCAGTGTGGCTCAGTTGTAGCGTTGTCCCCTACACCGTAAGGAGGTGGTTCGATTCCCAGTCAAGGCACATAGCCAGGCTGCAGCACACCCAGGAGGCAACCATTCAATGTCTCTCTGTCTCTCTCTCTCCTTCCCTCTCTCCCTTCTGCCAAGCTCAATAAAAAAATAATTTATTTTTAATGCTACCTGTGCTACTTCTCAGAATAAAACACCCCTGAACCCAGATGGTGAGGAGGCCTTAAGCCTATGACCCAGATCTGTTTCTCCCTCAAGACTCATCAGCCTGGAGGGACCTGTCTCTGGGTCAGGCCTCCGATGGGGACACGAGGCCAGCTGCACACCTGCATCTGGCTCCAAGGTCCTCACGACCTGGCAGCACCAGGTCACCCAGCTGGAGCCTCAGCCACACCTTCTCTGGCAGCACCGAGACCCTCTGTCCCCCATCACCAGTTCTGTCTGTGACAGCCCCATCCCCCAAAACATTCCGGGGAGCGGAAGGACAAGGCCCGCCTGAGCGAGAGAGGCCCTGCAAGGTGCTGCTGGGGCTCTGCCTGCCGGGTCAAAGGCAGCAGCAGTCACTGTCCTGAGGCCTCATCTGTCTTGTCTGCTGTGGTCCCCGTGCCCAGGACAGTCCCAGGAGAGAAGAGCACCGTGAGTGACTGAATTCAAGTGAGCAGATGCTCTAGCCTCTGCCCAGATGCAACCCCTCCTGGGAAGCCCTCCCCAGCACCACCACAGCGGCCCACCCAGGCCTGTGTCTGGGTCGCCACCAGAGGCCCAAGGAGCTCAGGCCCAGAAGTTCAAGAACAGTTGAGACCCAGAGCCTGATGGGCTAAGCTGAACCCCTCCTGAGAAGTGGAACCAACAGCGAGCTCAGAGGATAGAAGGTGCTGAGCTCAAAGAGGGAACAGGGAGCCCTCAGACGAGTCAGAACCAGTGAGAGTGAGTGAGGGGGCCCCTCCCAGGGCTGAGCGAGCGTCTCCACTGGAAGGGTGGATGCTGGACATGCTCGAGGTCTCACCACGAAACAAGTGAGGCCTAGCCAGAGCCTCGGCCATCTGTGGGGGCAGGAGCACGAACGGCCCTGCTACCCCAGCAGCCCATTTGGGGCCTACCTCCAGCTTGCGGGACACCTGGGTCAGGGCCGCGGGGTCCAGGTTGGAGGCTGCCAGCACCTCGTTGAGCTGCAGCTCCTTCTTCTCCACGGTCGTGCTGAGGGCCTGCAGCTTGCGCTCCAGGATCAGGTTCTTGAAGCCGGTCTTCTGCTGCACCTCCAGGATGGCCGAGGTGAACTTCCTGTAGAGCTCGTCCCGCTCCCGCTGCACCTGAAGGGACGCCTCCCCTGGCCATCTTGCTGGCACGGAGCCTCCCACTCGCCCCTGGGCCAGAGCACGCCTTTCACGGTGCCGTCTGCCCACCCACAGCCTGGTGAGCCTGGGGCACATGCACCTACCGCAGCCCCCCCCCCCAAGAGTTAAAGGTGTGCAGCTGTCCACACCACGGAAGGCTGCAGACAACAGCACTTGGACCCTCCTCTAGGAAGGTGTCTCAGGAAGCAAGAGGCCACCTGGTAAGAACTGGACAGGCCCCAGAGGGGACATGCTGGCCTTGCCCTGAGTTTGGGCAATGGGCTCTGGACAGATAGGTCCCTGAACACCCCAGGTGAAATCCAGGGAACCAAACCAGCAACCAATGCTCGGGGCTGGGGGGCTCTTGGGGACCTAGTCTGTCAGCACCAGATCCTGCACCCCACGTGCTCCACACAGATCTGGAGCCAGCTGCCTGTCGGCCTGTGCAAGTGCGGCCATCTCCTCAGGCTGTTCCCTCTCTGTGCACTTGCACCAACCGAGAGTTTGTAGAAATGTGAAAAGTGAGCCCCCGTAACCCCACCTCCAGAGGCCATGACATCTGGTGACTCCTTCCCTCAGGATGCCCGTAGCCTGCAGGCGCCCCTGGGGCACCTCTGAGGACGAGTGTACATCTGACGCGCGTACTGGGTGCTCCTGCACACGGGTGGGACGGAGCTGGGCCCACGGCATACCCTGCACTAACAAACAGCTCACAAAGGTGGACTCGCTCTGCCCCGGGCAGACCCTGGACACTGCAAGGAGGGGCCTCTCGGACTCGCTGGAAATTTAAGAAAAGCACATCCAATGAGATACTCTCCACCAATCACATCAGCAAAGTTTAGAATTCGTGCGGAGCTGGTGCAGGCAGGAAGTGCCCCTCGGGCAATTTTGGTGACAGCAAAACTAAGAACAGCCCACTGGGCAGACCTATCCAAACCTGAATTCAAACCTCCGTCCCAGGAATCCCACCACCAGGAGCTGACTTTCCTAAGAGAGAGCGGAAGACGGGGCGGGGCTCACTGGGGACGGGCTGTGTGAGCAGCACACTCCCCGGCAGCTCGAGCATCAGGAGGCTGCCAAGCATGCAGTCTGGGAGGCCGCTGGACAGACCCACAGACAGAAAGCGCCGTGTGTAAGGCAGGAAGTCGTACCCACACTGGACACAAAGGAGGCATCTGGAGGGAGACGCGGAAGCTGTCACCGCTTGTGAGGACCAACACTGAGCAGCAGGGGACACACTCGTTTTTACTTGCAGACTCAGAATTCCACTCAGGACACTTCTTCACAATGTGTCATGACAGTTCAGTACCACAACCATGTGTGCAGAGGGAAAAGATGCTGGCCGGAGGGGCCAAGCTACCTCCGTATGTTTCAGAAGTGACCTGAGGGGACAGGTGGGCAAACTGCTCCCTACCAGGGACCTGCACTGTGTGAGACCCCCGGGCCTCCTGAGAACAGGCCACGGGTTTCTGCCTCGAGAGCTGCACAGAGCGAAGAGCGGACACCGGGAAAGGCCTGTCCCCAGCTGGGTCCAGGCTGCTGGCTGCTCACCTGGAGGAACCGCTGCTCCAGCACCTCGTGTTCCCACTGCAGGCTCTTGAGCTCTTTCTCAGTGACTTTCAAACGTGCCTTTGTGCACTGGAGAGAAATGGGGCAGAAAACACTCAGAACTCAGGCCGGCACGTGAGGAGGCTCCTGGATATGGGAGGCCACAAATAACCACCAGAAAGAACTGGTCAAAGATGCAAGTGGCTCAGCCCCACTGGGTGTGTTGTGGGCACACCTGTCTCCCAGGACATGCACCAACTAGACGCCCCAGGTCTCCAGTCACAGAAAACTGAGAATCAGACCCCCTCCTGCCCTCAGGGCCAAGCCCTTCATGAGCCTCAGGAGACATCTCGCTGATGCCCCTTCTCTCCTGAGCCCAGAGGGAGCCAAGGAGGGAGGTGAATGCGGGCGACACTCACAACCAGGAGATGCTTGTCCCTCTCGTGGTCACCCAACTTCTTCTGCATCTCGCTCATCTCCTCCCGGGCCTTCTGCAGCGGCTCGGCCAGGCGCCGGTTCTGCGTAGACACCTCCAGCATCTCCTTCTCGAGGTATTCCTCCTTCTTCCGCATGTCCTCCATCTGCTCCTGTTGGCACAGGGCAGGTGCGGGAGGGCTCAGCAGGCTGCAAGCTCACCTGCCAAGAAACGCGTCCTGCCACTGCCGGCACGCAGACCACCCAGACACCACTTTGCTCAATTTTCACTTACTCTGAATGTTCTAGGAATGCAGTTTCCACAAGATCACGATTTGTTCGGGTGCCCTGAACATTGTGGCACTGTGGAAACTGGTGACAAGGACACCTGCCCACGCCTCCACACGGGCTGCCTGCCTGAGCCTTCACCCATCAGAACATGCACCACCCTATTCGTCCCCTGCCCTGCGTCAGGCAACAGCCTGGTTTCAGCTACAGGTACAGAGAGTCTACACGTCCTTGAGAGTTTAATCAAGGACATTATCAAAATTATTTCTATAGTGGGTATTGGGTCTGATGGGCCAGGAGCTGTGTCCGCCCCGGCGTGGCTCGCAGCACCTTGAGGGAGTTGATGAGGGCCAGGTTGTTGAGGGTGATGTCGTTGTAGTAATTCTTCATGTCTGTGAAGGCCTCCTCGTGCCGCTGCATCAGCGTGCTGATCTGGCCGTTCTTCCTCTCCTCCACTTCGTGGATCTCGGTCTTTCTCCGCAGGTCGAGCTCATCCCTCAGCATCTTCATCTTTTTATCGTACTTGGTCTCGATGTCTGAAAGGCAGCACACACGGCAGCTTAGCAGAGCAGCACAGCCAGCAGGACCAAGGCCGCAGACAAACTGCCCGAGAGCGGGTGGCTTCCAGAGCATTTCTGACGCGCAGAGGAAATGTTCGGCGTACACCCGTCTGCGGGGCTTTGCCTGCGGCAGCCGGTCCCAGTGGCCACCAGTATCCATCCGGTCACAGCACAGGGCTTTGTTCTAAACCAGACAGACCTCCTCAGGCCAGGAGCCGTGGGAAAAGCTATTCCAAGAATGCTGCCCACGAGACTGAATGACCACCCCTGCCCCTGCCACCCATCTGTGCAGGAGTGGGGAAGTGGGTGGCGACCACGGCCTCCCCAGCTGACATGGAAATAACTTGTTCTGGGATTCTGAAAGGTCCATCAACCTTGAAAACTACCAGATTCTCTCTCGCCGCATATCTGGGCTGTTCTGACCGGGTTTACCAGCCCTGAGGTCACAAGCCCCGAGGTCAGTGACTTTCCGATGGGGGGGCTCCGCAGGCAGTGAAACACTGACCTCGCACTTGCCTCTCAAAGTCATTCCGCATCTTGGTGATCTCCTCGGTGTGCTTCTGCAAGGGCGGAAGCAGGCGTTACCAAGTGACAGAGAAGCCACTCGCTCAGGCTGGCCCTGCACCTCACTGCCACAGGAACCTCAGCTCCGGGAACCCTCTGTTTCTGGGGGGTCCCTCATCTCCCAGCTCGTGAACCATGCCCAGAATAACATGGTTCTGGTAACTTCCACGTTTCAGAGCTCACTTCCCTTGGCTGAAGTCAGCTCTGAGCTTGAGAAAATGTTAACAGACATTCCAAGCACTGACTGCATCCGGCCCCTTGCCTGGCCCACCTGCAGGATGGAGAGCCGTGGCCACATCCACACAGCCCCGCCCGCTCCTCCAGGTGCCTGCTCACCTACCCTCGCTGTGGCTTAGAGCAACGTTAAACATTATTTCAATAGATAGTTACTATATAAAAATTCGGAATAAAAAAAGATTAGTTAGCCCTGGCCGGTTTGGCTCAGCAGTTAGAGCGTCCGCCTGCGGTCCGGAGAGACCCGGGTTCGGTTCCCGCTAAGGGCACGTAATTCGGTTGCAGTTTGTCCCCGGCCCTGGTTGGTCGTGCGGGTGGCAGCCACTCGATGTGTCCCTTCACGTCGATGTTTCCCTCTCTCTCTCTTCCTCTCTCTCCCTCCTACTCTATCTGTACAAAAAATGGAAAAATGTCCTCGGATGAGGATAAAAAAAAAAAAAAGGTTAGTTAATTTTATAGCAGTACTTTTACACAAGAGGGAACTCTGACCACATCCCTAACATATATGCAGGCCTTGGGTAAGCAGACAGGAAAGAGCAGACTGTTCCTGACAGGCCAACACTTCAGCACCCTCAGACTTTGCTACAAACTGCAATTTCACTGTTTTTCCAGACACATGTGTATCTTGAGGCTGCCTTCCCATGAGACACGTGTTGACAAAAATCTTCTCAACCTGCAGCCAGGAAGAACCTCTGAAAACCAAAGGCAGACACACTCTCCCTCTGCCCAAACCCCCCACAGCCTCTGACTCAGGGTCGAAGCCCAGGCCTCCTGAGGCCAACAAGCTCTGACCTACCTGCTCCTCTGGCCTTCGTGCTGGCCCCTCCCCTACCTCTTCTCCTGGCCTGGTCCCCCCAGCCTGGCCCAGCCCTTACTCCTTTGCCCAAATGTCACCTGCTTAGTGAGGAATTCCCAGAACTCCCTGCAGAAAAACACGCTCACTCTCATTCCCAGCAGCCCAGGGACGTGCTGCACATCTGGACACGTTATTGGTCTTCTTCGTTATGTGTGGTTTCTCCTTTGCAGACCACATGCCACATGTGGAAAGGCTTTGGTCAGTCCTCTCCAGAGATCAGAACGGGGCCTGGCACCTTACGGGCACATAGCTAACAAATTCCAACCTCTACATAGAACTGCCCCCACCAGCCTCCCTCAGAATGGACCGAAAGCTCTCAAAAGTCAGCTGGGCCCTGGCTAGTTTGCTCAGTGTTAGAGCATTGGCCCAAGCATTGGCCCGTGGACCAACGAGTCTCAGGTTCAATTCCGGTCAAGGGCACATACCTCGGTTGTGGTTTGTCCCCGGCCCTGGTTGGGGTCATGTGGGAGGCAACCAGTCGATATGTCCCTCTCATGTCAATGTTTCTCTCTCTCTCTCTCTCTCTCTCTCTCTCTCCCCGTTCCTCTCTCTCTATCTGAAGATAAATTGAAAAATATCCTTAGGTGAGAAAAAAAAAAACCCTGGCCAGTTTGCTCAGTGGTTAAGAGCGTCGGCCCGCGGACAAGACACACCCAGGTTCGGTTCCCACTAAGGGCAAGTACCTCAGTTGCAATTTGCCCTCAGCCCCGGTTAGGGTCATGTGGGTGACAGCCAGTCGATGTGTCTCTCTCACATGGATGTTTCTCTCTCTCTGTTCCTCCCTCTCTCCCTCCCCCTCGATCTGATGATAAAAATGCAAAAGTGTCCTAGAGTGAGGATAAAAAAATAAAATTAAAAAAAGGCCCTGGCCGGTTTGGCTCAGCAGTTAGAGCGTCGGCCTGCGGTCCGGAGAGACCCGGGTTCGGTCCCCGCTAAGGGCATGTAACTCGGTTGCAGTTTGTCCCCAGCCCTGGTTGGGTCGTGCGGGTGGCAACCACTTGATGTGTCCCTTTTACGTTGATGTCTCTCTCTCTTCCTCTCTCTCCTTCCCACTCTATCTGAACAAAAAATGGAAAGATGTCCTCGGGTGAGGATTAAAAAAAAAAAGAAAAATAGTCAGCCAGGTGTTCATGAGCCCAGCATGCATGACAAACTGCCGTGGCCACCGTGGACTGGCGTGCTGAGCACTTCAATGGCTGTGTTCCGAACGCACCTGACACATCCTGGGAGAGATTTGGGGGTCAGGTGTCGGCAGCACCTGCACAGGAGACCTGAGCTGCTTTTCCTCACGTCAATCTGTTGCTCAAGTCTGAGACAGGATTCTGCACTTGGCCCCAAAGCGAGTCTGCTTGGCTGCATGCTTTGTAAAAAAAATATTTCAATTAACTGCCAAAATGCGGGAGTTTTTTAAGAAAAATGAGAATTCCCAGTTGCTGCTGAACACCCAGCAGCCAGCTGATGTACCCACCAGCCGCAGGTTCTTCACCACCACCTCGTTTGCCAGCTCCTGCTCCTTGAGCTCCACCTTCAGCACCCGCATGTCCTTGCGCAGCGAACCCTCCTGTGTGCGGTGCTCCTTCTGGGCCAGCTTCATGGCCACAGTGCCCTCGGCCTTCATCTCCGTCAGGTTGTTCTGATGCTCGTACAGCAGGTGCTTCACCTTCTGCTTGTAGACCTGCAGGCAGGAGGAGCCACCTGCTCACCAGCACACACACTTACACACACACCCCTGCACACACATGTTCACCTACATGTGTAAAAAACACCGTCGGGTTCTCAGTGTAAAGGACACAAGCAGAGGGCTGTGACCCCAAAGCCAGGAGAGGAAATGCCCCTCATCCCACCCAGCATCGCAGCAGCGACTCCAGGGGAACAGGGGGCCCCACTCACCTTGATCTCCACCTGGTGCCTCTCCTCAGCCTCCTCCATCTCCCGGTCTTTGTTCCGAAGCTCAGCCTTCTTCTCCTCCAGCTGCCTCCGCGTGATCTCCCAGAAGGTGTGGATCTTGTCCCGTTCCAGCTGGAAGTAATTGCGTTCCTCCCGCTCCCGGTCCAGCTCCTCCCGGATGCGGGCGATGTGCCCCTCCACCTGCGGGCAGAGCGAGCCTGAGAGGGACCCAGCAGAGCCCACCCACCTGAGGGGCACACAGGAGGAACAAGGCAAGCAAGACAGAGGGGCCGCTCTCATCTAAAAGTACGTAACAGCCCTGGCCGGTTTGGCTCAGCAGTTACAGGCCAGAGTCACAGGTTCGATTCCAGTCAAGGGCACATACCTTGGTTGAGTTAGTCCCTGGCCCTGGTTGGGTTCGTGCAGGAGGCAATCACTCAATGTATCTCTCTCACATCGATGTTTCTCTTTTTCTCTCCCTCTCTCTTCCTCCCTCCCTCCCTCCCACTCTATCTGAAGATGAATGGAGGAATATCCTCAGGTGAGGATTAAAACAAACAACGTAATATTCTCAAGTAAGGAGATAAAGCACAGTACGAGGAAGGCTCCAAGGACAGGATACTTTTAGTAAATAGAAAAAAATCTCTGAATTTTGCCAATAATCATAAAATGATTATATATTTTCACCCATTTATGGGAATTTATACTCAGAAAATTTCACAAAAGAACACAAGAACTTTCTCCTCAAAGATATTAGCCATACCATTATTAAAACAGCAAAAATTTTTAATGAAACGATCTAAGATGATTTTAAATACAAAAATGGTTGAAAATTAAACTCTATCAACTAGAAGATTATACAGCCCAAATATACATAGATATGAAAATGATATAGCAGCTTAAAGATTTTTGCCATCACTCAATACATAGATTTCTCATAAAATGCAGATTTCTAGCTTATCCCTTAAAATCAGAAAGCAGAAGGCCCTGGAGCCCAATGCCACAGGCTGCCTGTCCACTGAAATGACTGCAGCTGCCCAGGGCTCTCTCTGGCCTGGACCCTGGGCACTTCGGAGGTGTCCGTGCCTCTGCAAACCGACCACTGCACGTCAGTGCAGACTCCTCAGGGACAGGGAGTAAACAGGGAGACAAGAGACAACTCTACTGTTGGGGCAATGCAGTGTACAGCCCAGAGATCTCTCCTGAACACAGACTGGGCCCACTACCCTCTGCTTAAACAGCTAACAGTTTCCCTGCATGTACAGTTAAGTCCTCACTCAACGTCACCGACAGGTTCTGCAGCTTTAAGAGAAACGTGTAAGGAAACCAATTTTACCACTGGCTGACACAACAAGAGTTAAGTTCCTCTGATGTCTTATCAACATGATAACAATACCTTTTTAAGGACCTGCTGTAAAATAAAGCCACTCTTACCATCAAGGGCCCTTGCTCAACATCAACTTCAGCTCCTATGAGACACTATTACCTGCTTTGTATTTATTTTTATCTCAAAAGTATCCAAAGACAGTAAGGGTGTGACACTGGCACCCAGCTGGCACAGAGCACTCAGGCCCATGGCAGACGCACACAGGTGGCCGCCAGAAACCCGGAGCCTGGAGCGGGTACCAGTTCACGTGCATGGCTGGCCACGTGCTGCAGTTTCCAGGCGCCTTTTAATTAAAATCGTAATTACGTAATTATATTATCTAGCCCCTACCTTCACCAACATGGACAAGTGGCTTAAAATAATTCCCAATGTTGCCCTGGCCGGTTTTGCTCAGTGGTTAGAGCATCGGCCTGCGGTCTAGAGAGACCCGGGTTCAGTTCCCGCTAAGGACATGTACCTCGGTTGTAGTTTGTCCCCGGCCCCTGTTGGTGTCACATGGGTGGCGACCACGCGATGTGTCTCTCTCACATCGATGTTTCTCTCTTCCTCCCTCCCACTCTATCTGAACAAAATATCAAAACATTTCCTCGGCTGAGGATAAAATATAATAATTCCCAGTGTTTACCAGTAAACAAAACAAACAAGAATACGATGACGCATGTACTATGAGAACCACTATGGAAGCATCAGGTCAATAAAAGGGTAAGACTGAAAGAAAAAACAAAAAAATGAAAAATAGCTTTTATATCAGAAAAAAACATTTCCTCCCACATTCCTAACACCCTATTAAAAAGTTCTTCAATGCTGTGCTTGAGAGCTTTGGAGCTGATGGGGAGGGACATGCTGGTCAGACAGAACTGCAGGAGCCAGACTGAGGGATGAGCACAGACTACAGGGCAGGATGAGGGGTGCACTGATCCGACGGATGTTCATACAGACAAACAGCCAGAGAGAGGAGATGAAACAGCAACCACCCACCCACCCACCCGACCCCAGGACTGCACAGGGCCGACCCACTCACCTGCTCCTTGCTCATGTCCTCCGGAGCGAGCCCATCAACAACTGGGGTACCTTTGCCTTTCCCTTTCTTTTTGGGTGCCTTGGGTTAAAGAAGAGATACTTGGATAAGGAAGGGAGGCTTTGGGTGATGACTTCACTTTCAGCCTGGCTCTGACTCCCTCCAGGGTCATCAGGAGAAGAGTACCTACTCTGGAACCCCCCTCTCCTGCCCATGGTCTCGTGCTCCCATTGGCAGCACACACATTCTGCCCTGAAGTTCCTTAACCACATTCACATTCTATGCTGACACCTTTGAGAAGCAAGGAGAAATCTTCCATTTCAGAAGAGAACATTTTCTCCCTCTGAAAGGAAGGGAAGGGAACTTGACCAAATCCACTCCTTGGTACACAGCAGAGACCACCTTGGTGTGGATGTAAAATTTACTTGGCCTCAATCAGAACCCCGATACCAGTGTCAAATGTTACCATGTTGGCTATGATGTTTGGTAACCACCACAGAGAAACCTGCAAGAAGCTTGTGTTGGGGGAAATGCCTCCACAGCAATGATCAGAGATGGCAACATGAGACTTTCTTCCGAATACAAACTCCTTCAGAGAGCCCGGCCCGGGGAGCCAGCAGACAGCGCCCACTGTGAGCTCCCTGCCTGGTTCCCTGCTGCTCTGGCCACTCGCCTCCTTCCACCGACTTGGACTTCCACATCGCTCCCCTCCCGAGTGCCGCTCAGACAGACACTGAATTTCCCAGTCCTTCCCATCCGCCCTCACTGCTCAGCTGTCTGTGGCCCACGCTTGGGTGTGTCTACATGTTTCTGTAACATTTTTATTACAAAAAAAAATGTGAATTTTAGAAAATGTACAGAAGCAAAAAGAAACAAGGAAGATCATCCATATCCCTCAAGCTAGTAATAGGTAGAAGTATTTGGTGGCCTTTTTTCAGTTGATTTTCAAAGACCTGTCCACTGAAATTTTCACTCCAGGACTAATATCTCTAGTCCAAGAAGTTCACCCACCAGAAGTCTCTGGACACTTAGCGTCTGGGACATTCACAGCCAACTGCAGAGGCGCCCCACAGTCACATCCTCTCCACCAGCTGCCTGCCTGGAAACTGAGTTACTGGCACCCCCCTCCTACGTGGGGGTGCAGCTGAGGGCTCAAGTACATGAATCAGACAGATGAGGCCTGACAGCTCCAAGCCTCTCCGAGCCTCTCCAAGGAGCTAGCAGTCCTGTACCCCTTGATGCAGAGGGACCTCCAGCCACCCTGGAATGCCCCAGGTTCTCCATCACGGAAACTGGGGGTCCTAGGGTATCCCCTACACCCCAGTGTCCTACATGGGGACACGGTGTGCCCAAGATCCCCGGAAGATCCCAAGCTCTCTCTTCTGGACACATCAGACTTTGGGGTTTGTCCAAAGACCGCCCCGGTGAACACTGGACCCTGGAGAGCCCAGATCTCTCGGCTACAAGTGCGTGCGGACCCGGGACCCTCCCCACGGGACGTCGCCACGGGAGCAGCAAGGTCTCGGTTCCCGGGGCCCAGCTCCAGGCCTCCCCGGCGGGGTCTCTGCGCGCCGCTCACCATGGCTCCAGACGTCCGGGCCCCGCAGCGACCCGCAGACAAAAGCGCCCGCCGGGCGGCGGCTGCGTCGTCTCCTAGCAACCGCTGGGCGGGCCGCGGGAAGCACCGACGATCCTCGCGAGACTCCGCCGCGCCACACGCCCTGGCAACGCGCTCGGGGCTCGGGCTCCCCACGCGGGCTCCCCACGCGAGTACCACGCTGCGGGGGTCGGGCAGGTCTTGCCTGCAGCCCGACAGCATGCACGTTCTTGATCTCCCCGGCGACCCGAAACGCGTGTCGTGGCGGGATATACGGGTGCCTCGCCGGACCCCCGCTGTTTCGTCCACTCGGACCCCCAGTGCGTGGGACAGCGCACAGCAGGCGCTGGATGGAGATGCCTTCGGTGGCGCCCAACTGTGCCCAGTGGCCGAGCCCACCCTGCACCTCGAGGTCGCTGGATGGTTCCCGTCAGGGCACCTGCCAGGTTGTGGGCCAGATCCCCAGGGGGCATGCGGGAGGCGGCCAGTCGACCGGTTCTCTCTCACCATCGATGCTTCTCTCTCTCCCTTCCTCTCTAAAATCAATAAAGGCGAATAAACAAATTTTAATGCCTTCAATGAAGGAAGGAGGGAAGGAAGGAGGGAGAAATTATCCAATTTAGATTCAAATTTGGGCTGAGTCTCTGCCCCTGAGCATGACCTCACCCTGCTCACCTTTGAAAACGTCTTCCCTGCTGGGCTGGTGAGGGTAAGAGACAGCCAGGGTTCCACAAACCATCTGAAGGAAAAACTTAAGGAGGCCCCAAAGGTTTGAAATCAGCAAGTGTCCCCGTCACAAAAGTAAACTGCTCATCCTGGAAAGGCCTCCTCTGGGGCCCCTGTTCTCATGATGAGGAAACACTAGACACCTCTGCCTGAAGATTCCAGACAGGCAGAAAAAAAAATGTTATCAGTTCTTTTCCTAACCAGGTGATATCTCCAATCCCTACCCCTACACTACTACCTGCATGTATCACTCAGTGTCACCCAGAAGTCTGTGTTTGTCATAAGCAGGTGCCCATCTTTACACACCATTTATGGTCTCTCTTTTTTTCCTACACTCTCAACGTTAACATCTTCCTAACTAATGATTTTGCAGCAGGTGTTTTCATCTGTTTGGAGATGAAGAGTCCACAGTCTTCTCCCCCTGAAGAGACGCATTGGGGACAGAGTGTGAGTCATGAAGAAAGGCTTGGATCTCTTTGTCCCAGCAAGGGGGGATGTGCCTTATTTGCACGCTGGGCTTCAGACACCCACACAGTGGTAGGGATCTGAGAACCACAGTGATGAACCTGAGGGGCTTCCTGTTTGCCCAGCCAAGCCCTGATTGTTCTTGGAGTGCAGCAGCCAGTTGAAAGGGCTGCACTGACCTAACTTGCACAGAGCTATAATTTATTTATAGCAGGCCATGAGGCCTTTGTGAGATCTGGTCCTGCCACTGTGCCTAGGCAGCCAAGGCCTCTGTGCCAGACACCACTGGCCTGATAGGAGCCTCCTCCCCCAAGGCGGGCCTCCTAGAGGGAATTTGGCAGGCAAGACAGTGCAGCTGGGTAACACAGCGGGGTAATTATTATTATTTAACATTTACTTTGCAGACCCAATATGCTAGGTGCCTCATACTGATTGGTTTTTCTTTTGGAAGTCTGGCTCTGAGTTCTGAATTAAATAAATGCATTAACAATAATTCCTTTCAGCAAAAAAGGCAAGAATAGGAGGGTTAGCTCAGGATACCACACAGGATGTTCATTTCTCACAAATCAACAGCATGGATTGCAGAGATAAGTAGTTCATGGAGCCCTGGGCTCTCAACAAGGCCCACAGCAACTTGTACTTTACATATTAAATTTGAGTTCAGATTTTTAGAAGAGTCTTTTCTTCACATGTGCAACTTAAGACACTTTTATTCAGCATCACACTGTGCAACTCAGAAACACAGATAAGTTGCATTTGAGTTTTTGGCAAAACCCCAGAGCAGATGTTAAGCATACAAACCACTGACATATCATCTAATGTTGGCTCTTCCTAACACTCACTTACCTGGTTGGCCAGGTAAACTGCTTAGGGCCCCTGCATCAACTGGGTGGAGGCCTAGATGTTAGGAAAACAGAGAGCTTAAGAAAACTACACTTTCTTTTGTTTTTTTTATCTTTATTGTTGAAAGTATTACAGATGGTTTCCCTCTTTTCCTCCTCCTCCTCCCCACTCGCATCCCCTCCTGTCTTCCCTACACTATTGGCTGTGTCCATTGGTTATGCATATATGCATATAAGTTCTTTGGTTTATCTCTTTTACAGAGATAAATAGTGAAGCATTTACCTATGAAAGTATGTAATGTGCATAAGATTTGCCTCAAAACAATCCAGCACTGAAGGGAGGCATTGGGTAGTAATGAAACAAGATCATCGGGAGCTGGTGATCATCGAATGTGGGTGATGAGTACATGCAGGTTAATTGTGTTATTCTTTCTACTTTGGTTTGACAATGTTCTTAATAAAAAGTAAAAAATATATGCCCTGGCCAGTTTTCTCAGTGGTCAGAGCATCAGCCCACGAACCAAAGGGTCATGAGTTTGATTCCTGGTCAGGGGCATATGCTGGGGTTGCAGGTTTGATCCCTGACCCGTCAGGGTTGTGTGGGAGGCAGCCAACTGATGTGTCTGTTTTACATAGATGTTTCTCTCTCTTCCTCCCTCCCTCCCTCTCTTCCTCTCCATCTAAAAATAATTAGAAAAATATCCTGGGGTGAGGATTAACCAAAAAAAAAAAAAGTTAAAAATAAATACTGGCCCTGGCCGGTCTGGATCAGAAGTTGGAGCGTAGGCCTGTGGACCAGAGAGTCCCGGGTTCAGTTCCCGCTAGGGGCACGTACCCAAACATAAATAAATAAATAAATAAATAAATAAATAAATAAATAAATAAGAAATTAAAATAAATAAATAAATACTGGCCTCTTGATGCCTTTGACAAGAGTCCCTCTGCATACATGTATTTATCTCTCCAGCAGGGATAATTATTAAACAGTTACTGTGGCTGCATAACAGGTTACACCCAAAATGTAGTGGCTTAATACAGTCACATCTCTGTTTTGCTCGTGAATCTGAAACTCAGTAAGGACCAGATAGAGACAGCTGTGTGAAAGTGCAGACTTTGGGCTTGGATTCGGGCCTTCTGGCTTTTAGTGCCTGGCTCTGCAACCTTGATCAGGTTACCTGCCCTCTCTGGGTTAGGTTTCTTCCCGCAGAAAACGAGGATACCGTCGTCTTAGTGTCACTGGAGAGTTAACGCGACACTGCGCTCGAAAGGCTTGTGCGGTCCTAGTGCAGCGGTCGGTGTTCGGAGGTGGGACTTGAGTGAACCAATCTCTGCTCTCAGGGAGCCCAGACCCGGCCTTCAGCTTCAGTCCCAGGAGCCCTCCCTCCCCGCGCCGCGGCCCCCACCTCCTTATCTCCCATCCCCCACCCACGGCCCCTCCCGCCTCGGCGTTAAACGCTCTCGCCCCCCCCCACCCCACCCCCACCCCGTCTTTCTTCATAATATTTATTACAATCTGCGGTTCGTCGTTTAAGGACCCTAGGGTGCTGCCTCTCCTTGTGCGAAGCGCCGGCTCGCACACAGATACCTACGGGTGAGCGAACGGAGGGGACTGGTGGCGGCCGCGGGACGGGCGTGCGCGCAGCGCTGGGAGGCCGCGGGCAGGTGCGGTGGGTCCGCGGGGAGGGCGAGGTCCGCGGGGGGCGGAGTCCGCAGGCCCCGGGCCGACAGGGGGCGCGCGCGGGCCGGGCGGGGCCGCACCTGTGCTGCGGGGCTGGGGGAGGATGGGGTGGCCGGGGCCCCGGAGCAGCTGCGCGCCCCGCCCCGCGGGCTCCTCCCCGCCGCCGCGGCCCCCCGGCTGCTGCCCGATGCGCGGAGCCGGGGACCGGGAGCCGGGGCCGAGTCGCCACCGCTGCTGCAGGGCCGCCAGGGCCGGGTGACACCGCTGGCTGCATGGAGCCCCCGGAGGGCGCCGGCCCGGGAGGTGAGTGCGGCCCCAGCCCCGGAGCCCCGGAGCCCCGGAGCCGCGCCTTCCCCGCAGCGAGCCGCAACCCCTTGTTCTCGGCCCAGGCAGCTGCTGGGGCCGCTCCGGGTCCCGTTGGGCCGGGCGGGGAGACGCCCGGGAACAGCCGCCGCGCCGGGCCGGGGTCGCAGAGACCGCGTCCCCGCCCCCTCGTCCTCGGCTGTGCCTGGAGGGCTTCTGGGTGGGTGGCCCACAGTTTCGTTCCGAACCCCTTCCAGCCAAGCCGTGGATCCGGGGGTCAGGGGATGGGGCGCGCCGGGGCCGGAGTTTGGGGTCCGGATGGGCAAGGCTTGGGGAGCGACGCAGCCGTCTTAGCCGCGCGTCTGCTTTGTTCGCCCCAGCATCGCTCCCGCGGGCTAGGGCGGGGTGGGGGCGCAGCCGGAACCCGGTCGGTACCTGGCTGAGACGGGGTCTCGGAGGGGCACTGCCTCCGGTGGGGGAGGGGCCATGCCGGCAGGGCCTGTCGGCCTGGACGGGGCCCAGGGGAGCACGCGTCTGGGAGGGCAGGTGTGCACGGAGTGACCCCTCCTCGCAGCCCGTCCCCTGTCCTGCCGAAGTGGAAGGGAAACTGTAGGAACCCCCCTCTCGAGCCCTTTTGGACCGGCTTTACGGACGCCATCCATCCTCCTAGGAACTAGGATGCAAACGCACGACTCTTCCGCTCGCCTGACCAGGCCTCAGGTGCATCCCTGGTTCCCTGCAGGTCCCATTCCAGGGAGCCACTCCCTGACTACACAGGGACCCGCTGGGGGTCCCCCAGCACCGGCGGCCTCCTCTGTGACCAGACTGCTGGATTCGGTGTCCTGGAGCAGTGGGTCCATGCTTCAATCTGCCGTCCCTTGTTGGGCAGGTTAATGCCAGGAGGCTGCCTGAGGACCCTTGTTACCCTCCGTGCAAACACCACACACACCCAGGGACCCGCTGGGTGTAGGTCTCCTTTGTTTTGTCATTTGTGGGAGGGATCCAGTCTTTTCTTACAACTGACTGTCCCAGGACAGCCCCCCACACCCACACACTTCCCAGTGGCAGCCTTGCTGGGATGCGAGGGAGGGTTGAGAGAGCGAAGGCTGGGCAGCCAGGCCTGTGAGAGCCCCTCTCCCCCTGCAGGGCTGTGCTGAGGAGCTTACCCACCCTTCAGTTTCTGAATCTCACGCACTGGGAGCTTCTGATTAAGTCATTCAGTGCACAGACATGTCTTTACCAGGTGCCTGTTTTGTGCAGGCCGGTGGAGGCTGTGGCTACCCTCAAAATCACACTGTGTAACCCCATAGTCTTCCTGCCTGCCCCACACCGCGATGTCCACTCCATGGGATCTCATCAGGTCACGTGTGGGTGGCTGTCATTCAGTTCACTGACTTCTGTAAACTTTATTCTGGAGAGTGTGGAGAACACACAAAAGGAGAGAAAACAGTATGGGAAAGCCTCGTACCACTCAGCCAGACCCCACCAATCTCCCTTCAGTACTAATTGTAGCAAATCTGGACGTACTATTTTATCCACAGTTGTTTTGAAATAATCTCTAAAAGATAAGGTTCTTATGGGTATAATTCAAATCCCATCTTAGACCTAAACAAATGAACAGTACCTTAATCATCGAAGGGTGCAGCTATGGAGGTGGGTGTGGTGGGGATGTACTTCTTGAAGGGCCCCAACTGTTGCTTCTGGAAAACCAGGGTTCTAGCTCACCCCATGGGGAAAGAGAGGCTGCGCTCGGATGCAGCTAGGAGGAGGGGTACTGAGTCCAAGGACAAGGGGCTGGGGAAATTAGGTTCTGGGGCCCCACCTCTGTGGCCATCTCTCCCTCTCTGCAGCCATTTGTTTTTATGACATTCATTTATTCACTTCATTACTTCACTTGTTTACTTGTGGGTGTGTGCAGGGTGCCTCCTCTGCTGGGCACAGCCCTGGACACACAGCAGGGAGCTTGAAATTTGGGACAAGTTCTCAGCATTGTGCTGGAAAATAGGTCAGCAGCATCGCACAAGGTAACCCTATCAGTTCTACTCACATCAGAAATCGGCCCTGGGTGGGGGACAGACTGTGGTACCCCAGCTTCAGTCTCCCCACAGGTAGCTGTCCTGAGGCATGGGTAACACCCACTGGCCTCTGCCCTGGCCAGGTGACCCAGCTTATGGCTCAGTTAGGCTGTCAAGCACCCCGCCCCGTGTCTGCCAATGAGATCACTCCTCTGTTGATACCCCTGGAGAGCAGTGGTCTGTGGAGTATCTGTCTCTTCATCCTCCAGGGATCAGACAGCCCCTTATTAACTATGGCATGGGGTCTTGGGCTCATTCGTTCAACAAACATTTATGCTGCACCTACCGTAAGCTAGGGCCAAGCCCAGATCCTGGAACTCACACCCAGTCCCAGCCGCTGAGCCAGGTGCCTGGCACATAGTAGGTGCGTAGCAAATGGCACATGTCCGAAGCCCTCCTGGCTTTGCCCTTCAGCTCCAGCCAAAATCAACCTTTGCTTCCATTGAGGGTTTTTAAAAATTGAGATAGTAGTCACTTGTCCTAAAATTCACCCTTTTAAAGTGTAAAATTTAGTGTTCTTAGTATACAGATGGTCTCCAACTTAAAATGGTTCAACTTAATGATTTATTTTACTTTACAGCGGCAATCAGAGTGATAAGCATTCAGTAGAAACTGTACTTTGAAATTTGAGTTTTGATCTTTTCTGGACTGTGATATGATAGTCTCTTGTGGTGCTGGGCAGCTGCAGGCTAATGTATGTGTTCTGGGCATATTTGAGGTGGTCTGGAATAAGCTACATGTTCAGTAGGTTAGGTGTCTTAAATGCATTGTTTACTTACAATATTTTCAACTTACAACAAATTTATCAGGATATAACCCCATCATAACTCAAGGAACATCTATATTCACAAAGTTGTGCAACCATCCCCAGCATCTAATTTTAGCATATTTTCATCACCCCCAAAGAAACCCTGTATACATTAGCTGTTACTCTGCATTCCACCCATACCCCAACCACCAGTATGCTCTATGTCTTCTCTGATTTACTCTCCACTATGGATTTGCCTGTTCTGGACATCTGCATAAATGGTGTCATGACATGTGGACTTTCGTGTCTGGCTTCTTGCACTCACCACAGTGTTTCCAAGGCCCATCCATGATGTAGAAGGTGTCAGCTCTTTGTTCCTTTCTGTGGCTGAGTAATAGTCCATTGATGGATGAACCCCATTCTGTTTATCCGTCACCTGTTGATGGACATTTGGGTTTGATTTCACTTTTGCCTGTTGTGAATAGTGCTGCCATGAACATTGTACAAGTATCTGTGTAAACATGTGCTCTCAGTTCTTTTGGGTTTAAGCATAGGAGTGGAATTGCTGGGTCATGCGGTGACTCTCATTTGATACCTGGACTGTCTTCCACTGAGGCTACACCACTTTACGTGCCCAGATCAGTCTTGCCCCTTCCTGGGGGCTCCTCTATCCCTGGCATCTACAATGGCATTCTGACTCTTAATCTCCTTTCCATCACATTCTTCTAGACAAAAGATCATTGTCCTTGGCGGCAGAAGTTACATCTGCTCCTTTTTCTTCACCCTACAGCTTTGACACAGACCAGGGCACCAGAATTTATAGATACCAGGCCCCTGCCAAAGGGAGATGAAAAAGACTCAGAGACCAGACACGTACTGTATTCTGTTGACTCTATGACACGTGGATGCTTTGCTGTTTCAGGCATGTGGGAATTTGATCAAACGTGCTTCTTATGGTCAGTGCAACAGTCCATAATGGCTGTGGGGTCTGTCCCAGGGGCTGTCTGAGGCTCCTGGCTCCCACTCTCTATAAAGAGACATATCAACATTCCTAGTCCCCCTTCCCCGCAAGATGGGGCAGGAGTGTGCTGTGTGGCTGAGGTCCTGATGGCTCCACCCCTCCACCTGTGGACTTCATCCTTCCCACCTGGACTGCATCCCTGAAAAGTGCAAGTAAATGCCGCCCCTCTCAGCTCAGACCCTCCAGCGGCTTCCCCCAGCTCACTCACAGTAGCAGTCACTGTCTACGAGATGTACCCCCACCCATGTCCCCTGGCCCTCACCCTGCTCCCCTCAGGTGTGGCACAGTTCCCGCCCACCTTCAGACCCCTGCCCCAGTAGAACCGCCCTCACTGCTCCCAGCCTGCCCGTCCTTGAGAGGGTGGAATCGTCTACTTTGTTCATGCTGTGGTCCTGGTGCAGAGTGGGTGCTTAGGACACTTGGTTAGGATGGATGGATGGATGGATGGATGGATGGATGGATGGATGGATGGATCCTTTCTTGTCTAGAGAAAAGGCCCTACCCAGCAACAGAGGGACAGGGCAGCTGTGAGCAGAGACCCTGCCTCTATCCCTCTAGTTTTCAGAAGTCCACTTCTGCCTGGGTGGGGCCCAGGGAACATATTCCAGCTTCCCTGTGGGCACAGGTAAGGAGTCTCTCCCCCCTACTCTGGCTCCTGTTCCCAGCCCTGCACCGTGCCCTGGGAAAGGAGGCCAGCAGCTGGTGGCTGAGAGCTCAGACTCCATCGTCCCTGTGCTGTGTGCCTCGGAGGAGCTGAGCCATTCTCTAAAAACACAACACTCAGCGTCCCACCCTCCTGGCTGGTTGTGAAAGCAGAGCCCTGGGATGGTGGCCGGCACAGATCAAGTATGAGAACCCCGCAAGCCACTGTCACTATGGTTACTGTCCCAGAGCTCCCTTCTCCAGTCGGAGGCTCCCACAGCCCAGAGTCACCCATCAGCACAGGCCACGGGGTGGAAGTGTCTCAGAGTTGTGTCGCGGGCCAGTAGGACACAAGTTCTCTCCTGTCACATGCATGCCCGTGTGCCGCCCTGCCCCTTGAGGAGACAAAGCAAAGTGTCCTGCAGAATAAGCACATCCCCCCCCCCCCCCCAGGGCTTCCTCAACCTCACTCCCCCAGCTCAGAGCAGGGTCCAAATCACATTTCTTGTGCCCTCTGAGTGGGAAGGTGTCCTTGCCAGGCTGCCAGAGCCAAGACAGGGTGGGTGTAACTCTACCCTCTGAGGATGCTCAGAAGCCACAGTCCAAATGCAGCAGAGGTGGAAACCGGATCCCCTGAGCCCCTGTCCAGCCTGGCCAGGCCGCCTGTCAGCAGGTCCACCTTCCCTCGGCCACGCTCCAGGGCGGGTGCACCCTCCAGCTCTGTGGCTGGGGCCATCTAAACCCACATCCCACATGGCAGTGTCTGGGCTGCAAACCACAGTTGGGGAGGACAGGCCCACCCCTTACAGTCAGCTGTTGGCACTGGGAGCCCCTGCTGGGCCCCCCGAGTCTCGACACTCGAGGCAGCGGCAGCTGCTCCTGGGGCTTCATCCACTCCGGACCTCAGCATGCTCCTGAGGCATCAGAGACTGCTGAGGGCACCAGGGCCGGCTCGCTGGAGTCTACCTGCTCAGCTGTGGGGCCCCAGGGGGACGTGCGGGGAGGGCCCCGGCACAGTTTGCAGGAGGAGCTGGTAGTTGTGGGAGCTGGTGCTCCTGTGGTCCGTCTCCACCAAGCACACCCCCAAGGGGCCTCCTGCCCTCATCTCACAAAAAATTAGTTATATGAGAAAAGCGAGAAATTACATTTTTCAATAAAAAATTTGCGTAACCTGGCCAGTGTGGCTCAGTGGATTGAGTGTCGTCCCACGGACTGAGAGGTCCCTGTTCGATTCCCAGTCAGGGCACAAGCCGAGGTTGTGGGCTCAGTCCCCAGTAGGGGGCGTGCAGGAGGCAGCCGATTGATGTTTCTTTCTCACATCGATGTTTCTATCTCTCCCTTCCTTTCTCTCTAAAAAATCAATAATTTGCATAGAAAACCCTGGAGGAACATTCTCCAAATTGTGAGGTATGGTGGGTGGTAAGGGAGTCTACTACCTCCCACCCCTACCCTGTTCTGTAACTCTCACTATGAGGATATATTGTGTTGAATTCAGACACAACTTAGGTTCTTTCAAAGTCAATGGACGGAGGACAGACAGGCGATGGGACCAGCGAGGAAGCCCCCTGACACCTGCATGGCCTGCGCTCATCAAACTCAAACACTCAGGTCCAAGGTCTGGGGCCACCACCCATGGCCAGGAGCGGCATCCCCAGAGAAGCCCCCACCCTAGTCTGGGATCCCGGCCCGAGGCTGCCCTGAGCACCTGACCACACCCAGCACCTAAAGGAGGGCCCATGGGCCAACTTCTCAAGTCCCTGCCTATGTCCTGGGGTGTGTGGGAGCCCCCATGTGTCCTCCCAGGTAACACATTCTGTCTTCTGCAGAAATAGTTAAGGAGATTGAAGTGCCACAGGCTGCCCCAGATGCCCCGGCCCCGGGGACAGGGAATAGCTGCCACTTGCCTGGGGCCGAGGAGGAGGAGGTGGGAATCCCAATACCAGCACCAGGGCTCCTGCAGGTCACAGAAAGGAGGCGTAAGTATGGCAGAGCCACCTGGCATGCTCCGTGGGGACCTGTGACCCCCTGGGGAGTGGGGACCAGGGGCCACATCCTGTCCAAACACCTCCAACGTGGCAAGCACTGGGCTGTCAAAGCTTTGGCTGGGCCTCAGTTGTACCCTCTGTAAGTGGGGGACCCCAGAAGGCATTTGGTCCTGAGCGTGGGGAGCAGAGTTGGGGGTCTGGCTGTCCCGTCTTAATTGGGCTGTGCTGTGCTTTACCCAGAGCTCTGGTTCTTCCCTGGGTCTCGTGGGGGGCGGGGGGGGTGTCATGGAGTGACTACACCAATGAAAGCCCCCTGCCCCCAGAGCCCCTCAGCAGCGTGTCCTCCCTGGAGGTGCACTTTGACCTCCTGGACCTCACCGAGCTGACCGACATGTCCGACCAGGAACTGGCCGAGGTGTTTGCTGACTCTGACGATGAGAACCTGACTGGTGAGTCGCCAGCAGGTGAGGCTGACTGGGACGCAGTGACGTTGGGGGAGGTCCTGGGGACAGACCACTCACCACTGCTCTCTACAACCCCTGTTCTTTACAATTACTTTATCTCGATTGTGTGTGTAAATAGTATTTGCCAGCATAGCACCATTTCATCCAACATGTCTGCATTCTGCGTGTCTCTGTGCCTATTCCTGCTGCCCCTCCTCATTTCTTCTTTTCAAACACCAGCTAAAGGCCAAAGCCACAGACCCACTGAAGGTAGAATTTACTGAATGTGAATTTAATCACAAGTTAAGCCCTGGCCAATGTGGCTCAGTTGGTTGGCTTCAGCGTCATCCTGAAGACCAAATGGTTGCAGGTTCAATTTCAGTCCTGGTGGGGCGTGTGGGAGAGGCATCTGATCTCTCTCCCCCTCCCCCTCCCTCCCCCTTCCCCCTCCCTCCCGCCCTCCCCCCCTCTCTCCCCCACTTCCCTTCTCTCTAAAAATCAATGAACATGTCCTTGGGTGAGAATTTAAAATATATACTTTTTTAAATCACAAGTTAAGCCAAGCACAGAGGGGGTGACATTCTCTCAGCCTGGCCCCTCCTCAGCTCAGCCTGATTTGGTTTCCCCTTTGGTTCCTGAGGAAGCACTGTCCTTGTCCCGACGCCCAAAACCTCAGAAATGGCAAGGCAGCGGTGGGGCGTGTGGGCCTGGGGACACGCCTCAAACCCCATGCAGGTGGAGCCCGGGGGGGGTTCAGACCCCAACCCTATGAGCCTGCGCTCTGCAGAGCAAGGAGGTGGTCATCTGCTGTTCGCCAGGCTCACCGTCTGGATGGGGCCTTGGCCACGCAGCTCGGGCCACACCCAGACCCACATGTGCTCATGGCTGGGGGCACATTTTCTACGTGCCCAGGGGACCCCAGTGTGTCCTCAGACGCCATGCTTGGAGGCACACACAGGCAGCCCAGAAGCTTCAGGACAGATGCAGGATTCTAGGCCATGCTGACCGTGCCCGTGTTCCCACCAGGCCTGCACCCACTGCCCCGGGCCGGCTGTCTGCGGTCCCCGTCCTGGACGCGGACCAGGGCTGAGCAGAACCTCGAGAAGCAGCACCTCGGCAACCCTGAGCGGCAGCCGGCGATTGTGGACACGTTTCTCACTGTGGAGAGGCCCGAGGAGGACTAGGCCAGGCCGCCCCAGGACCAGGCAGAGGACGGCTCCACAGACACGCTGCCCACCCCACGTGGCTCCAGGTTGGGGTCTCGAGACACCCAGCACAAGCACAGCCCAGTGGCCTTATGTCCAGTTCCTTCCTGGTCCCTGGATCAGGGCTGACATTGCCCGGGGATGAGACAGGAGTGGCCTGGGCCTTCTGGAGACTTCTGTCTGCAGGACTGGTGCTCTCATCTGTCACAGCCGAGTGGGTGCCAGGTGGAGGGAGGATCTGAGCAGATGACAGCCATTCTGCAAGGCCCCTGGGGTCTAGCCAAGTACGAGGTAGAAGAGTCAGTCCTGAAAATTGCCACCTTCATTTCAGTCCTGTCCCCTTCCTGTCACCCATAGAGCAGTGTCAGCACTGGGCCCCTCCCAGACCCGAGACCCTGCTTGTCTTGGTCCCTGCAAGACAGCCGAGCCCACCCGCCTTAGCTTGGAACATAAATACGGCATGACTGCTTCGGACTGCTGGGGGGGTCACCTCCTGCCAGTCCCTCACCTATGCTGTCCCCACCGCCTGTCCATGTATACCGCCAGCCGGCATCCTGGCCCGAGGGTTTGGGGTGTGGGGGGACCTGGGCATAGCCCCTGACCCCCAGGCTAGGGGCACCAGGCTCAGCTGCTCCCAACACTGCTTTTTATGTGCTAAGGGACAGAACAGGCTTCTGGTCTGACTGTAAGTCCAAGAATGGTTTTAAAATAAATGTGTGAGATTGCTTTTGGTCCCCACCAAACCTGCCCTGCGCTGTTCCCCACTGAAACGTCTCTGGGAGGGGAAAAGTGCTCTTCTGCTGGAGCCCTGGACACGTGGGCCCCTGTGCTCAGCTAGACAAGGTTCCCTCAGGAGTCTGCAAGTGTTTGCTTTGCACACAAGGGCATGGAGACCCTGCCTGCTCCCTCCACATGGGGTCAGCAGCAACACAGGAATGTTTACCCGGCACAGTCAAGAATGTCACTGAAGCCCTGGCCTGTTTGGCTCAGAGGTTAAAGCATCGGCCTGTGGTCCAGAGAGACCCGGGTCCGGTTCCCCCTAAGGGCATGTACCTCGGTTGTAGTTTGTCCCCGGCCCTGGTTGGTCGTGCGGGTGGCGGCCACTCGATGTGTCCCTTTCATGTCGATGTTTCTCTCTCTCTCTCTTCCTCTCTCCCCCTCCCACTCTATCTGAACAAAAAATGGAAAAGTGTCCTGGGGTGAGGATAAAAAAAAATAAAGAATGTCACTGAAACCCAATCCTGCAAGGGCGGCCTGCCCAGCCCCACCCCGCCCCTGGGTCTTCCTCCCAGAGTCCGCCCTTCCTGCTGCTGCAGAGCTAACTGCAGAAAGTGGACTCAAACGTCGCCTGTCCTAAGGCCCAACCACCACCTCCTCCTTTGTCGCAGTCCCCAGAGCTCGGGCTTGTACCAGGGAATGCTCTGTGTGCTGTTTTCTCCAGCCAAGTCACTGGGGCCTGCTGTGCTGCAGTCTGGGAGGTTTATTTGGGTCACACGTCAGTGACAAATGCCCTGGATCTCTGGTCATTAAGTGAAGATCCTGCCCCCACAGAGGCCCGGGAGGCCCAGGTGCTCCCTGGTGAGCCTCCTCCCAGCCAAGGGCAGGTTCACAGGCGCCCAGGCCCAGAGCAGCAGGTTTGTCCCAGGGGGGCAGCCAGCAGGGACGTGTCCATTTGTGAGCAGAAGACCAAGATGAGGCTGAAACCCCAACCATTTTAATCACCTGTGAATCAAGGACCCAGAGAACAGGCCCCAGGCGCATGTCAGGTGGTTCCTCGAACCCCAGGTTAGGGAATATTCTTGCCCAGGTGTACTCCATCCACAGGCCCAGGAAGTAGGAGCCAACACAAAGCTCGTGGAGAGTGCCCAGGGGCACCGTGGCCCTGGCAGGGTGAGGAAGGGTGCAGCAGGGATGTCACTGCACTGCGCCCGGGGCCCCAGGAAGAGGCCGTGCTCCCAGGCTCTGGACGCCACAGGTAGGGCCTTCCTGGGATTGAGGAGAGCACAGGCACCTCCAAGAGAGAGTCTTGATGCCCTGGCCGGTTTGGCTCAGCGGTTAGAGCGTCCGCCTGCGGTCCCGAGAGACCCGGCTTCGGTTCCCGCTAAGGGCATGTACCTCGGTTGCAGTTTGTCCCCAGCCCCGGTTGGTCGTGCGGGTGGCAGCCACTCGATGTGTCTCTTTCACATCGATGTTTCTCTCTCTCTCTCTCTCTTCCTCTCTCTCCCTCCCACTCTGTCTGTACAAAAAAAAAAAAAAAAAAATAGAAAAATGTCCTCGGATGAGGATAAAAAAAAAAAGAGAGAGAGTCTTGAGACAGGACCCTAAGCAACTCAGTTATGGAGGCTGCATTACAGGGTGAGCCCTAGAATGCACACTTTACAAACAGCAACAGTAGGACTCCACAGAGAGCCCAGAGCAGCCCACCCTCCTGGTGACTCTGAAAAGGGGTGTAGGGAATACAGCTTCCTGAGTGGGTGCAGGAGAGGGGCCAGTGTCGCACCCCCTCATGGCTCCACCATAGGCCCTGACTGCTCACCTGTAGGAGGTGTTGCATTTCCTCTATAACCACTGACGGGCCTTCCACCAACCCAAACACTAATTCAAATCCCAACACTTTCCCTTGAAAACTGGCTTAGTCTCCTTAATTCTGCCCACTCATCAAACCTTGAGGATTTTGCAACTGAGCCAAAGCCTCCTCTTTGGGAAAATTAGGGCAGCCGGCACTACACTGGTTCCCGAGGTGCTGTCCCCAACAAGTGCACCCACCACCCACCTCGTTGAAGGCCCAGGAGGGTCCTGCACTCAGGTCTCCCCAGGAGGACACATTGCCGGGCCCAGCCCTCCCGGAACAGAGCAAGGGGAGGGTCAGAGTGCCCTTAGTGAAAACGTCCACCGGCTGTTATCAGAGTTTTCATTTGTTTTCTGCTCTCAAAGCAGAGTCCTAAGCTGGGCTCTCCTGCCCCTGGTTCCAGCCCTTCGGCCCCTCAGGGAGGGACACATCCTCTTCCAGGCTGCCAGTGCCTTCCTCAGACTCCTCGTAGGTGGACTTCTCCGTGAAGGGCTGGGGGCCCAGCATCTTCACCACGTCCCAGCTTCTCCAGGGCCTCTCTTTCCAGCATCCACTTGCCCACCTGCAAAACACAGCTGCCGTCAGAACACTCTGAAGGGGTCCATTCAGCCCCACCTAAGACCCAGCCACACTCACCTTGTCCACCTGCTCCCAGCACTGTGTAAGCAGGTCCCGCGTCCACTTGTGGGCGTGGCACTTCCACATCAATGAGCTGGCAGTGGCCTCACAGTGGCCTTCTCTACCAGAACCTCGTCGGGGGAAGTCGAAGGACACTTAGCCTAGCTGTTCACTCATCCCAAAGTGCACAGCCTGGGAGCCAGTGAGAAGCCAAGGTTGGGCGTGGTGGGACATGCCACACAGAGTCCCCCGCTGGGGCCGCTGCCCTTTACCTGTGCGTATGTGCTCTGGGTCTTTCCTCAAGGCGTCCTGGGCCCCCATGGTGACTGGTCCAAAGAACACCTGCTCGGCCACCCCGACCCCAGCATGGCGCACCTGCAGTCCAACAGGTGCACAGGAGCCGCTCTCTGGGCAAGCACTGGGTGAGCCAAGCCCTGCCCCCGCGCAGCAATGGACACCTGCAAGGGATGGGGCCGTGTCCTCATCATGCCCCGCACAGAGCCCTGCCCAGCCTACTGGTCTTTCTACAAGGGTGTGGGAGGAGAGGAGAGCCCTGGGCCCCACCAACGTCCAGGGGGTCACCCAGAGGGTCAACGTGGAAACACCTGCATCCTGCCTGTCCTGAGGGAGTTCTAGGGGAGCCATGCGGCTGGGTCCAGAGCTCAGGAGAGAGGTGCATTTAATGCCAAACCTCTAGGGGTGTCAGGTGGCTGGTGTCCAGACCCCACCTGGAACCAACACCCCCTAAGCCTACCACCCACCAATGAATCTTTTGACGAATACTAAACCATCACATGCCTTGAATGTGCCCACGTGACCACCAGCCACGCAGACACCCACAGAGTGAATGCTCAGGCCCGGAAGTGAGGGTTGAGCAGGCGAGAAGCGGCCCGAGCCCCAGTGCAGACATACGGGAATGAGAGACTGGCCTCCAGCGGGGGGCCACATGCTCTAGGAACCAGCCCACCACTGCGTGTCTGGACTCTTGGTAGACTTCTCACCTGGCAACAGAACCCTCATCTTCCCCAGGCCTAAAATCAAATTCCCAGGAAGTAGGAGCAGAGGAGGAAGGGACAGCTGGACGCGGGTGCCAAGTGCCTCCGTACTCAGGGCACGTGGGTGGTGCTGAGCCTCTGCTGGGCCAGGGCAGCCCCACAGCCTGTCTTCTCCATACACAGTGCTCAGCCCGGCATGGTACCTGTCCCTCCACACCAGACACTACGCTGCCTGGTGCCCCAGCTAAGAAGGTCCCCACACGGCACAGTGACTGCGTCAGGAGGTATCTTTTGACTGACACAACTTCTTTCTGTGGCCTGACTAGAAGTGATGCCTGAACCACGGGGGACAAGAAGAGAGTCCAACTGCCCTCCTACAACCCAGCTGACAGGTAGTGACAGGATACAAAGGGACAGGAAACTCGCGATGAGCCGGCTGCAACTGGCCGCTCTCCAGAGCCACAGGACACTCTCCACAGCTGCGGGGACCGGCCTCAGGCTGCTCAACTGCATACTTCTCTCAAGTGCCACATCGAGAGAGTTTAACAAGGACAGGTCAGCGTCACCCAGCTGCTGCCTGGCAGCTGTCACAACCCTGGGGCTGGACTACGGACAGCTGCTGGCCATGTGGACACCCTGATCTGCATCCCTGGGAAGGCACTCAGGAGACCTTTACTCAACTGACTGGTTCCCCAAGTGGCAGAGCTGAGGATGCGAGGCCAGTCAGTGACTACGCACGCGCACACACAGGCACACGCACTCTGCACCGCCGCTCACAGTGCCCGGCCCTGGCAGGAAGCGTCCAGGAAGCCCTGCTCCTCCCGGCCACACTCACCACCCTCCTGGCTCTAATTCAACACCTGGGGCCATCTCCTCTCAATGTAGCTCTAGAAAAAGCACAAGAGTTGTTGGCAGATCTCAAGTCCCAGATTCTGCTTTAGAAAACTTTCCATGGTCCGTGTGTGCCAGAGTGAACTGGTCCCCGGGGCAGGTGCCTCCACAGGGGTGCCCGCACCTCGACAACCCTCTCGGTCTGCTCAGAGCTTCTGCTGGCGGGCAGCCGTCAGGCCTGTCCCTGCAAACGCTGGGAACGTCAGCACCTGGCCTGGGCAAGGAGACGCTGCCCTTGGAGCCCAGCGTCTTGTCCCAGGAAAGCCTCCAGCAGAGACCAGAGCACAGCAAGGTGAGCACGTGATGGAAACAGGGCTGTTCTGTCATGACCATTGGTTTGGGCCAGTGTTTTGGTTAAATAACTGGTGAAGATACAATTTATTTAACATAAAATCCACATTCTATCACACGTATATACCACATGTACCCATTCACGCGATGGACATTTGGGAGGTCGTGAATAATGCTGCCATGAGCACACGTGTAGATGCCTAGGATGGCACTGCTGGGTCACACGGTGACTGTTCTACTTGTGGGAGAACCGCCACTGATCCCACACCTGCACTAGCTCGTGTCCCCAGCGGTGCACAGGCTCCGTGTCTCCGAGCCCTTGCCAACCCTACCCTGTCCTTGGCGGCGGCC